TTTATTTTTGTTTAAAATATTACAGAGGCCCCTTTTTCTCCCCAATGACCCGTTCCACCCCATCCCATACCCCTCCCCAGTCCCCCTACCCACCATTGTCCGTGTTCTTGGGTTGTGCATAGATGCATATAAATTCCTTGGTTACTCTCTCCCCCTCCACCCACCCACCCTCCTCCCTTCCTCTGACATTCGTCAGTCTGATCTGTGCTTCCATGTCATTGAATCTATTCTGTTCATCAGTTTATTAAGTTCTTTAGATTCCATGTATAAGCGAGATCATGTGATGTTTGTCTTTCTCTGCCTGGCTTATTTCACTTAGCATAATTTTCTCTAGGTCCATCCATACTGTCCCAAAGGGTACCAGATCCTTCTTCTTTACAGCTGCATAGTACTCCATGGTGTATATGTCTCACAGCTTTTTAAGAAGAAATTTAAAAAATTTTTTTTCCTTTACCATTTATCCCCTCTATGCCTTCTTCCACTTCCACCCACTCCTCACCCCCCCGCACCACATTATTTATTGTCCATGTCCATGAGCTCTCTTTTTTCTTTTTTGTTCAGTCCCTTCACATTACTCCCCCTTCCCACCAGAGCTGTCTGCCTGCTCAGTCTGAATCTGTCTTTGTTTTGCTTGGTAGCTCAGTTTGTTCATTAAATTCCACATATGAGTGAAGTCATGTGGTATTTCTTTCTCTGATTGGCTTATTTCACTTAGCATGATGTTCTCCAGGTCCATCTGTGCTGTCAGAAGGGATAAAATTTTCTTCCTTTTTATGGCAGAGTAGTAGTCTGTTGTGTAAATGTACTACAGCTTTTTTATCCGCTCATCTACTGATGGAAAAGAAGACATTTTAAAAGGGTGACTTTCTACTGGCAGCTGGAACATAGGCTCTAGGCTAGGCTCTGCCATGAAGCTAGTTGTATTTCCCGGACAAGTAGGTTTGTGGATCTCATCTTCATTGTGTTCAAAGAGGGTATCTCCATTTTGCAGATAAAGAAATAGGAGCTTGGTGAAGGTAAGTAACTTGCCCAGGTTTTCACACAGCCTGTACCAGGGTCTTTTTGGGAATCGGCTTTTGCTACCTTGGGCCCTTGTTAGCTCAAATACTGGGATATGAGATGCTTGGTTTGTTAACCACTTAGAACTGTTTTTTTGGAGAGTTTGAGAAATAACTGGACTTGAGTTCACATTACCATCACAGGTAACTGTGAGTCTCCCTAGCTCACATTTAATTGACCAATAAAACGTCTAATGCTGATTATAAGCCTATTTTTTCTCTTTTTTGTCTCTGCATTATAGGCATAATAACACCTTAAAGGTTTTTAGGACTATTATGAGTCTGATTAAACTGGCTTTGTAAACAGTCAAACGGGGATATTGTGTTTTATAATAAATATATATTTGGTCTTCATCTTGTTTCTGGTACAGAGCTCCTAAAACCCTTGGAATTTCCAAAGTGATAAGAGCGATAAAAATGTCTTTTGATATTCATCACAAATCCTTTTCAACCACACTTGAGTTTAAATGAGATGACTTCTGGAACTTAAGAGTGGGGCCTGGTTGATGCAACTGATTATATAGAGGGTTGGACCTTTCAGACCCCCCTCCCCCCACCTCTGGGGAGGGGGAAGGATTGGAGGTTGAGCTCAGTCACCAATAGCTAGTGATTTAATCAACCACGCCTATGCAGTGAAGCCTCCATAGAAACCCAGAGGGATGGGGTTCGGAGAGCTTCCTTCTGTGGCTGGGAGAGTGGTGAGCTCAGAGCAGCCTAGAAGCTCCTCGCCCCCTCCCTTATGCATCTCTTCAATCTGGCCATTCTGAGTTAGGTCCTTTTATAACTAACCGGTAATTTAGTAAAGAAACATTTCCTGAGTTCTTTGAGCTCTCTAGCAAGTTAATAGGACCCAAGAAAAGGGGGTCATGGGAACCTCTGATTTATAGCCTGACAGAAAAGCACAGGTGACAACTTGGACTTAGGATTGGCACCTGAAGAGTGTGTGTGTGGGGGGTGGAGGGGGAGGCAGCCTTGTGGGACTGAGCCCTTAACCTGTGGGATCCCACACTCTCGCCAGGTAGAAGTATAGGGCACCCAGTTGGTGTCCCAGGATTGTTTGGGGCAGGAACAACTACCACACATTTGGGGACCAGAATTGTCAGACGTGACATACTGTGCAGTCAGTATGTGTAATATAAACGGAAACAGCAGACTGTCTTACACAATTCTAGATGGCAAGGACATACTTTCTGCCTATAGAATTTAGTCTTGTAGATAAAGAACTAAAATAAGTTTTTGTTTGTTTGTGGGTTTTCCCCTTTGTCTAGTGTCACTTTTTCACTAGCAGCATGTAACTACACAGGTAGCTATCCCATACATATTTTCTAGAAAAGAAAATTTCTCCAAAATTTATTGGGTGCCTCAGTCTTCACCTCTTAGGGCTAGTCAGAGAAAGGATGAGATGCTCTCTTCTTTACCCTCTAGAAAGAGATATTTTGTACTAGTGAAAACACCAGCCGGTAAATCCAGACTAACAAACAAAAGATCATGTCTTTTCTAGGCTCTGCGTTAAGAAATCCTAAGTGGAAGGTGCTCACGTTGGCGCACTCTTTTTCCTCCTTACTCACATGGGAGATCTGGGACAGAAGTCTTTTTTTCCTGCCTAAAGACCTTAGTGTTACCTGGAAATTGCAGAGAGGTGACTGCAGGGGTTATACAGCTGGTTTCCCTGTAGTTGGTGAGTTCTTTACAGCATTTCCCATAGGTATTTGTACACTCAGAAATGTATTTTCTCAAGCTTATTTGTGACAAGTCGTTTTATAATTCAATAGAGAGTATATTTGGTAAAACATACTGAAAATATCATTGGTTGTAAGTAACTCCTGAAGGGTTTGAAGTTTCCTAGTACCTCAGCAGTATATTTGTGATAAGTGCTAAGTAAAGGAAAATCATGAAAGGCCTATAGCTCATAACTGCCCTTACCTCCTTTACTTTCGTCTTGTCCCGAAACAACTACTATTCTTAGCAAGAAAATGGACTTCAGCCTGGCCAGCGTGGCTCAGCGGTTGAACATCGACCTCAGTTCCAGGAGATCGAGGTGCGATTCCTGGTCAGGGCATATGCCTGGGTTGCGAGCTCCATCCCTAGTCGACGGCGTGCAGGAGGCAGCCGATCAATGACTCTCTCTCATCATTGATGTTTCTGTCTCTCTCCTTCTCCCTTCCTCTCTCTGAAATCAGTAAAGATATATTTAAAAAAAAAAAGAAAGAAAATGAACTTCAGGGCCAAGGTGGGCCAGTGAAGTTTGAGGATTCTCAATGAGGTATCCACAAATTAAAGAAATGGCACTTACAAGCACGCTTACCTCCCTGTGACATCCGGTGAACCGCAGTACTGAAACTACCAGGTAACGGGTTGTAGGGTGCCTAGAGATTCTGAGAGGTTCTGGGAGATTAGTAGTTTGAATCCATTTTTTATTCTGTTATCAGAATAGAGAGCATTGCATCTTATTTGGGGGTTTGAATATAAGGTCAGTGTACAAGGCAACAATAGTATGTTGGCAGAATTACCCATGAAAAGTTCCTGGGAAGATGCCACATCATAAATGCTTTCTGTATTGTTAGTGGTGACGTTGGACCTCTGTTCTTGAGTTTGACTAAGAAAAATTCAGAGCCTAGAACTCAGTGGAAGGGGAAGTTTATCCAGCAAGCAAAGTGGAAGTGCACCTGAAAAGGGGCAGCTTTTTGCTGCCTGGGGTGTTGGCAAGGACTCCTTTTAGCTGGGAGGGGTAACTACCTCCTTAAGCTGACCTGTCGGAGCCTGTCCCGGACTCTGTCTGCATGCGAGTCCTTTGAGGCTATTCTCCAGCCCCTCGTTCCTCCTCTAAGGGAGTCTAAACCCCTTGACTAAGGACATGTTGTGAGAGGAAAGGTCACCCTGGGGGCGAGGTCCTAGCCATTAATAGTTGTTTTCTCTAGTTTTGCCTACTGCTAGGCACCTGGGACTCTTTCTGCCCTGGTGACAGAAGTATCTGACCTTTCATTCCTGCTCTCCTCATGTCTGCCTACCTGCCTACTCTATCAGTATGAAAACAGATCACTGTTCTGTTGAGCACAGAGTTGTTGGTTTGAGCTTAGGGGCCAATGCTGTATGAAAAATGCTTCTTTTAGCACTAGAATGGCTCTGAATGACTAAGTACAGTGAAAGACATGAAGAGCAGGTTGTAGGAACAGCAGATTCCTGTCACCTAGCTCATGCTGACTTAGGCATACATACACTAATTGGCTGGAATGGTGGGCAGATTCCTTGTATTTACCTAAATTGAATTTCTCTTAAAAATTTGTTTAATGTATGTTGTTAAATTTGTGTTAGATGTTGGCTTATTTGAGGTATAAGATTTAAAATAGACTTTCTAGAAGGAAGACTAGAATCTGGCATCAGACTTCTAAGTACCTTTTCATTCTGTTTGCTTGTATCAAGTGGAGTGCTGAAGAAGTAATATGTATCTCGTGGCTCAACCTTGAATTATAATGAGTTGTATATCTCATAGTTTCTTCTGTTCATAATTTTTTGTTCCATTTCTCTTCCCAACAGTGTCCCAGTAACTGAATACATACCCAACAAAACAGGAGGATTCAGTTTATAAAATAGATGAGCATAGTTTTCAAAGAAAACTTTAACCTCTAGATGCCAAGTTTGTTAATCTGTTTTATATATTGTTCAAACACATTCTTTTATACACACACACACACACACACTCTTTATTGATTTCAGAAAGAGGATGGGAGAGGGAGAGGCAGAGCAAGCTATAGGAACATCAATGATGAGAGAGAGTCATTGATCTGCTGCCTTCTGGGGATGGAGCTCACAACCCAGGCATGTGCCCTGACCAGGAATCGAACTGTGACCTCCAGGTTTATATGTGGATGCTCAACCACTGAGCAACACTGGCCAGGCTCAAGCACATTCTTTAAAACATTTGTGATGGATCAGCTCTCCAGTTGGTGTAAACTTATATGGCCATTTCTTTTCTCTTTTGTCTTTGTAAAATTGATAGAGCTTTCAAATAAACACAGGGGTGCTGGTTGGTAGATTGGTGAACTTGTGAGTTTAGTTTACTTTTCCGCTGGAAGGAGGAAAGTGATCTTATTTGTTTATTTTTAAAAAATGTATCTTTATTGATTTCGGAGAAAGGAAAGGGGACGGAGAGAGAGAGAAACATAAATGATGAGAGAGTCATTGACCAGCTGCCTCCTGCGCGCCCCCCAGTGGGGATTGAGCCTCCGAACCAGGCATACACCCTGACCAGGAATTGAAGCGCGATCTCCTGGCTCCTAGATCAAAGCTCAACCACTGAGCCATTCCTGGCCAAGCAGGTGATCTTATTTTTGTGGAAAATACATTACTTCAGTCTGCTCACTGTTGCTGTAACAATCACTTTAATGTTTTTTTACCATTCAGCTAAGAGTGCCACATTTCTGTAATTTCCCATGCCTTTTTAGCACTAAAACCAGGGCTACAAATAGGGTCTCTTTTCCCCCTTAGTTTCCCTTGTTACTAGTCACTGGCGGATGTTTCCTTAAGACTTCCTGAAAACAAATGCTGTTCATAATGCTTTCTCATCTGTAGTCATGTACAAGGGGTCTGCTAAAGTTCAGGCACCTAAGTTGCCTGTTGTATCTTACACAGTTGTGTGTCTCAGAGGATTTAGCATTTTCTGAATGCTTCATAAATTCTTACTGACTAGTTAATAAGGTCTCTCTATTCCTAGCTTTCCAAGCCCTTCATACTGAAATTTCAGAAGTTTCTTCTGCTAGCATTTTGCAAGTCATTTGGGTGGAATGTTTGGGTCCAGCAGTAGTGAGCTCATGTATTTTTGTCATTTTTCTCTTTTTAAAATAAAAACAGGCACTCTAAGGAAGTGAAAGGTCCCTGGAACAAGATCTCAGTTTATCTTTCTTTATGGGATAGTGTAAAGTGTAGGATGGGGTGGTTTTAGGAAGCAGGAGAGTCAGAAGATTGGCCATGACTGTTGATGAGATCTTTTTACAGTCCGTGGTGAAGCTTGACAGTTTCCCAGTAAATACTTCTGATGAGCTCTGTGGGTTTAACAAATATAATTTTTTTGAAATTTGTTCACTATGGAAAGTCTGCATAATTCAGTGGACCAGATTTTTCAGATGCTAATGATGTTGTGAAGTCATGCATGGGTTAAAGATCTGTTTAAAGTTGAATGTAGCAGAGTAGGAAAAGTTATTGATACAGTTTCAGATTCCACATTGCAGCTAATATTTTAAGAAACCACCATTGCTTATAGAAAAGTAGTGGTTGTCTTGTTAAAGCACCTATGAGGTTCACTTTCAAGGTCAACTAGCCACTTTTTCATAGAACAGTTTTGGTGTAATATCAAAGCATGAGATTGATCCACAGTTACCTCAAAAGGCTGTTCACATACTCTTCCCGTTTCTAGCTAAACATCTGTGTGTTTGAGAATAGATTTTCTTCATATTCTTGAACCAGAATAACATATTGGAGCAGACTGAATGCTAAAGCAGATAGGAGAATCCAGCTGTCTTCTATCAAGACAGATATTGAAGGTCTTGTAAAAAATATAGAATTCCACTCACTGATTTTGTTTTTTTTTAAAGGAAAGTAGTTTTTAAAAATTTGTTATTTATATTAACATGCAATTGGCTTGTTGTTGTTTTTTTAATTTAAAATTTTTTTTAATCCTCACCAAAGATATACTCATTGATTTGAGAGAGAGAGAGAGAGAGCGCATCGATTGCCTGCCTTCCATATGTACTCACCTGGGGATCGAACCTGTAGCCTAGGGTGTGCCCGGACAGGAATTGGAACCCTCAGCCTTTGGTACACGGGACCATGCTTCAACCACCTGAGCCACACCGGTCTGGGCATGGGCTTGTGTTATTTTAAAGTGAATTAATGTTTTAAAATTTTCTTAGTTTTGAGTTTCTGATATACCAAATATTGATAGATATAGCACATATAAACTAAAGGGGTCCTGAGACCAAAATGCTCAAGAATGGTGTGTGGTGTTTGAACTTTCTACCCATTTTATTTGTCTGTATTATAAGTTCCAAGTTTTTTGTCATCACAGTGGCTCAGTTAGGCTTTATATTACCCTCTTTTGGTCGATTTTTTTTCCTCCTCAGATGAGTACATCTCGCTTTTTAATTTTAGGTTGTCCTTGCCGTTGTTTATTTGTTCTCACCCGGGGGGTCTTTCTTGCATTGCTTTTTCAGAGAATAGAAGGGGGAGAGAGAGAGAGAGAGAGAAACCTCGACGTGAGAGAGACACATCTGTTGGTTGCCTTCCGCACTACACGCGCCCTGACCCTGACCCTGACCCTGACCCTGACCCTCACCCTCACCCTCACCCTCACCCTGACCCTCACCCTGACCCTCACCCTCACCCGGCCCAGGGACTGAGCCTGCAACCGAGGTATGTGCCCTTGCATCTGCCTCTGGGAGTTGTCGCTTGCTCATGGGATGTGGGTGTTCTCTGTTTTCCCTCTGGCATAAGGTCTACTTCTAGGCGATTAATTTTTTTTTATTTTTGTTTAAAATATTACAGATGTCCCTTTTTAAAAAAATTATCTTTATTATTGAAAGTAGGCGATTAATTTTTATCTCTCACCAAAAGTTATGTCTCTGTGTCTGTCTAGGTTGTCTTATAGTATTCTCCTTATCTTTGCAAAATCTATTAACCATTAAT